GCGGTCGACTCTGAGGATCCCCACGGACGGAAGTAAGGTAGTTGACGAGCCGAGGAGGGGCGCCCCAAGTAGGGCCGGGGAAGGCAAGGAAAGCCTGCCCGGCACCGGACAGGCAAGGGGCGAGTCCTGCAGTAAGGTAGGCAACCGTAAGAGAGGGCCAGAGAAAAGGATGCGCAGAGAGAGGGGGCGCGCACCGGGTAGGCAGAAGACACAGTCGGATGAGGAGGATTCGCATAGACGAGGCGTAACAACGGCGAAGGAGGTCGCCGCTTCTGTGGAGAAGCAGAGGCTGGGTGGAGGCGAAGGTGAATGGCAAAGTAGCGACGAGCGAAGTTACCTGTGGCACGAGCCGAACTAGAGGCAACGCGGCGGAGTCTTGGGAACGAGGTAGAGAATATGAATGGTAGGTAAGAGAGTCGGCATGAGGCTGGAGGCTTACGTTTTCTGCTGTCGATGACTGCATTAGGTTATTTTCGTACTCTCTACTCGATTGCCGTGCGAGCGGCCCACCCGCCCTCCCACTAACAGCCAAATGGCTGATCGGAATTGTCTTTGAAGGGTTTGGGTACCGCGGGAGTGTGGTCGCAGACGCAATGGCCTTCCCCACAATAAGTTAGTAGTGAGTACGGATCACGCGATGACGTTTAAGCAATGGCGGACCTGGTCGACCAGATCGATCGACGTCGGCCTCGGGTAACCTTGCCTATGTACTTATTTGTTCATCAACTATATTCTTCTTTGTGCTGGAACAATCGGCGTTCCTTTGGGCCATGACCATGACTACCAATGGTCATGTTACATCGGAGCACCAATACAAGTGGCAAACACCCTAAGTAACCTAAATTTCACTTATGATAAATTCACCGGCTATATTCATGCTTCCCAATGTGCTTTCGGGGCTGCACGTCAAAAGTAACCTCGTCCAGACAACTGTCCCGTAGCTGCTGAGCCTTGGGCGCTACACGTCTCTGGACTGCCAAATGGCCGTAGGTAGAGAGCAAATCGTAAGGACAAATAATGCCTCCCTACACTTATATTTGATGGCAAACATGTTAACTAACCTCGTCATAACATTTCACACACTCAGCGCGCATATCTGTGCCTAATTATGACACTTTCAAGGTTGCACATTTACCAAGCTTCTAGCTGGCGAGTAACCTGTCCAGACAACTGCCCCGTAGCTACCGAGCCTGACGAGTTACACGTCTCCGGACTGCCATAGGGAATTGTAGTATTCTGGGCATATCACGGGATCTGGATTCGCTGATCGGTACTTTTCTGATGTCGTGACGCCACATGTCGACATAACATCCAACTCAGCGTACAACAACCGGTGGGATGGCCATGCCGCCCCCACTACACTATCTGCCTCATGAACATAATCTGTAGCTGGACTGCGCTATCTCTCAAACATGCTTAGAACATACCTTCCGCGAGATTGGAAGTATATATCCCGCCACCTTCCACCCTGTCCATGCCATATATGCGAGGTAGGATGGTGCTTATAGGCGATCTGGCAGCCCTTGAGTGTAGCAGCTGGCCGCCGAAAAGGCCTCTCGAGATGCTGCAGCTGGTGAAGCGCTTCACGCGTATTTGCAGTTACATACATGTGCCGTACTATGTACCTTCCACTACATTGAGCCCTCAGCTCGTATTGAGCAGTTTGCAGGTACCCCCACGATCATGTAGAACACACACACACATATAAGCACGTACACACTTAGCACTCAAGTTTCAGTTGGCCCCTGGTGTGCCTGTATGCATCCGTGCAGGACTGTGTCTACAATGTGACAACTGGCGAGTGCATACCCGATGCCTCTACAATTATAATCGCTGGAAAATCCACAACGTCCCTGGTGACCTTAGACCCCACCGTCCCACTACGTCTTCTGGTCATTATCCTGGATTACCCCCAATGTGGCTTCCCTGCCACTGTCACCGAGGATGATATCCGCACAATCTTCCTCGGTCCAAACCGCGACGGCAACGGGGGTGTGGCACAAAAATTCAGACAGTGCTCCTACAACAAGTTTGGACTCAATGTCACTGCGTTGAGGGTTGTCCGTGTGACTGATAATTGCACCACACCGATGTCAAGTATTTGTGCCTACTGGGCAATGCAGGAAAAAGCAGACCTAGCTGTCAAGCCCATCATCGGCCTTGAGGCGTTCGTATCATTTACCCACTACGCCTACGTGCTCCCACCGGCCTTGCGGGGAAATTGCGCTTGGGAAGGGTTGGCCATCATACCCATCGGCCATGTGATGTTTTTGCAAACTTCCGTCTACGGTCTGTATAGATGGGGAACCATCATGCAGGAGGCCCTCCACGACTACGGTAGGTAAACGTTTTAGTATAAGGGTAGGGAAATAATACGCAGGGAGGTTAGGGAAGGGAGGTTAGGGAAATAATTTCCTATATATGACAAGTGTAATATATGATAAACTTAAAAATGTAATAAGAAATTCTGGCTTCATAAAGTCTTCTCTGTCCATAACAATATTTTTTCTTCATATGTAGAAGGAAATATCCTACGTAGGTTGCACCTGCTGTATCGATCGGCATATTAATCAGTCAGTAGTGAGACTGCTGTATGTGGGGGACAGGGGGGCATATCTTCACCCATGGCCGCTACCCGGCAGACCCTGCCTTCCCCAGTGTTTCGGGGCACCCTCATCTAGTCACCCTAGCCAACTTCTCAATAGATCGCTCATGTTCCGCACCCACCACTGGCATCCAACGGAATCTGCCGGATCGATGGTGGCCCAACTCCGGAATGGATCCATTCCTGATCAGTTCACAGGTTAACTTTACCCGTAATTACACCAGTCATTGACTAAAGAAATTTTACCAGCGTTTTTTTTAAGTAATATATTCCTTAAAAGGAATAAACATGCCATTTTGGCCTTCGGAAAAAAGGAATGAATTGAGGCCGATCCGTACATTTTCATTCCTCCAGCCAAAAACGTCCATCGCTGCCAGATTGCTCCGTAATGTGCAGAACTTGGTATTTTCAATCATAGAATAGATATGAGGGGCCGTAAGAATGTGAAGCCCGTGGGTCAACGCGGCATAGCAGAATGTATGACTGGTCCTCACAGTGATGGCAGTGCTGTTGTCGGTAATGCATCGTCAATGGTGTTGCTGCCAGCGGCGAAGAGTGCGCACATGAACGAAAACGCGCCAACTCAGTGCGTGACTCTTGGTCTATGAGGGGAGTTGTAAGTTATTGGGGGGGGGTCTGCCGGGGGGGGGAGNCCGCCCAGCGCCTCACACTTAAGGAATAAATTACGACGACCCTAGCAACTTTGTTACTTAGGTTGGAATAAATTGAATGATAAAATCATTGCATTTTACCCTCCACCATCTGTTGATAGCTTTATCTTGGCGGGTCTTGATCCTGGGATCTCCTAGGGGCATCAGTGTGTGCCATACCAGTAATACCTAACCAATGTACGTATGCTACACGTTTGTCCTAGCCATGCATTACATTATGGCGTTTATATTCCTACTATTCTTAGTCTCATATGCATGCGCCTTTCAGAGTATTATCTCTGCGGATTTTGTTTATGATGTTCAGCCATATATGGCTGAACATGTATATATACACATCAAACCAGCGTGCAGCCCGCCTGCTGCTGAATAGTGGGATTCTTTGCTGTTAACGGCCACCCCTACAAACGCGGAGGGAGGTTAAGAAACGTAGGAGAATGCTTAAGAACGATAAGAACGTCTGAAGAACACGGAGGCGGGTGTGCATTCTTAAACATTCTTACACTGGGATTAAGCGGTTTTATGTAAGTATGTCATATAAGTATGCATTAAGAAAGCATCAGCCATAGAAACATTCTGTAATGAATGCCTGATGGAGCTCTTATAGTTCCCGGATAGGTAATATATCACAGTGATTGCGAAACAGTGAACATACCATGAAATTTCATGAAAACCATCAACATGTGTCTGGGTCTAATAATGCGAGACCTGTTAGATGGATTAGCGAGTTCATAGATATCTATGGCTACATCGATGGCTACATTGATGTAGCCAATAATTAAATCCCCTATCAATCACCATGCATATCTAGTTGGCCGCACTGCATATACATCAGTGTGGAGGGTGTCAGATTGGCGGCCCATCCTTGCATTCTGGGGGAGTCTTGGCAGGATGCGTGATCATGTATCCTGTCAGTTGGATACATCCTACACCCCCTTTTCATATCCTCAAGCCGATGCTTGCAAACATCCCACACCCTGGTGACTGCATCCCCTCATCCTCTGCCATCCTCATCCTTGGTGGGTTGGTGTTGACTCTTCCTGGGTCCACATTTGTATCCTTCTCCTTCCCATCCGTATCCTGTGCTCGACCCTCCACTGCATCCTGACTGAGTATTCTGCCACCAAGGAGACGCTTGGTGGTTCATGATTAGCCAGGTGCTACTGTCAACTAAGGCTTTGGTAAATTCGGTCTCGAGCACTTAAGGGACACCCAATTGGGTGTCCCTTGCAAGGGACACGGAAGGGATACCGTAAGGGATGAGCTTCCTCCCCTTTGGGGAGAACCTTCGGTGTCAAAGGGGTGGCACTGGAGGATACCCTCCTGTACCACCTTGCCACTGGAGGGTGCCCTCCTGTACCACCTTGCCACCGGAGGATACCCTCCTGTACCACCCTGCCACCGAAGAGTACCCTCCTGTACCACCTTGCCACCGGAGGGTACCCTCCTGTACCACCCTGCCACCGGAGAGTACCCTCCTGTACCACCTTGCCACCGGAGGGTACCCTCCTGTACCACCCTGCCACCGGAGGGTACCCTCCTGTAACACCTTGCCACCGGAGGGTACCTTCCTGTACCACCCTGCCACCGGAGAGTACCCTCCTGTACCACCTTGCCACCGGAGGGTACCCTCCTGTACCACCTTGCCACCGGAGGGTACCCTCCTGTACCACCCTGCCACCGGAGGGTACCCTCCTGTAACACCTTGCCACCGGAGGGTACCTTCCTGTACCACCCTGCCACCGGAGGGTACCCTCCTGTCAGCACATGTTTGTAGCCTGCCTGGTGAGTGTGTGTAATGGCTCGCAGCCCTCCACATGCATGAAGGAAAAAGTATTTTGATAGCACTCACAGAGCTGCCTTGTTGGAGGGGTGGGGCAGGGTGTGCACCCTGCAGGGAGCTATGTCCTGGGCCATGTAGCAAGCTTAGGATTTTAGGGTTTTAGTGGAGCCACATGAACACAGGGTGGCAGCCTTAGCACTAATTAATACTCATCCCTTCATTCATAATTGGCTGGCCTTGCCTGCCGACCAAAGGGGCATGCCACTCAACTTCAAGAACCACATCATAGCCTGGATGAATGGGTGATTTGTAATGAAAGATGTCCATGATTTCCCCACCCACATTTCTGAACTGGAAGGGCATTGCCTGGTGAAGAGAATCTTTTTTTGCATTCATTTAAAGGTGAAGCTGCACAAGATGGCAGTTGCTCGTAGCGAACCCAATGGGCTGGGGCCCCAGGCCCCACCAACAGTATCCTAGCACGGCAGGACCGTAGTAGGGAATCTCCTGCAGGTAGGCCGAGATGTAAGCTACCCGGGCGGGGTGCTATGGCCAGGCACTTAAGTATCACGACTACTTGGTGTTTAGAGTTCAAGACTTTGCTGCCGCCGTCTCAGATTGTTTCGTACCTGTTTATGTACGCTAGTGCTTGTCGCTGGGTTGGACTTCTTCCTGCCTCAGCGAGGACTCTAAATTCCACGCTTCCGTTAGCCCCGACTGTGACAGTTTCAGTTAGCCCCGAACTCTTCTGGTGGGGGCTTATAGAAAACACATGAGTCTGCCAGGCTCTCCATGGCAAGCAAGGATGCTTCCATTTGGATTCAGCTAAACATGGCAGTGGCCTCGGGGCGCCTCTTGTTTTTCATGCAGCTGCAGCAGCCAGGGATGGTGTTGGGCAGTGGGCTGCAGCAGGTATGTGGCCATGTCAGGCTGCACACCAGGGGCCAGGTCTGATAGCTGAGTTGCTGAACAGGTGTTGAGTTGTTTGTCGTACACGCACAAATGTTAGGGTACGGCACTTGGTGCATACCGCACATGTTTATAGCAAGATAGTAAAGAGGCGCCTTGTGATGCTTTTAAGCATCGTGTGATGAGTTTTCTTGTAGAATAGGTTCAGTGATAGCTATTAGCTCGAATAATCCAAAGTCGAAAGTTCGAATACAGCATAGGTTAGGTTGTAAATTAATTCCTACCAAGGTCATTCCCTGAAGCTTCTGCGGATGCCTGAGGAATGTGCACTCATGAGGATAAGTACAGGTGCGAAAGCAGGGGTCAGTGAATGTATCTAAAGACGATGGTATTTTCATTACGACCACCCCTTAACATTCCCACATTTTTAAGGCTTAAGAATGTAAGCAGCAAAAAGAATTTCCTGAGAATAAGACTTAAGAATGAGTGCCATACTTAGCAAACCTATGGTAAGAATGGTTAAAACCGGCCAAAGAGCAGCTAAGTATGTTTTAGGCAAAGAATCAATAAGTTGGCCTAAGAACGTATAAGAACACCCCAAAGAATGGAAGAGAATACATAAGACTGCATATGCTGCACAGTGGCAACGGTGGTGAGTACGTCGCCAAGCAACTGGAGCAGTGGCTGCACCAGCACGGCACTGCACACACCCACTCGGCGCCGTACACCCCAGAGCAGAACGGAGCGGTGGAGCAACTCAACCACACGCTCCTCGACCGTGTTCGGGCGATGCTGCATGACGCAGTACTCCCGATCAGCTACTGGCTGGAGGCTGCACACTACACCAACCTCCTGCACAATGCAGCCCCCTCTCAGGGCCAGGAGGCCACACCGTGGGCAGCTTATCACGGCATCCCCCCCGACGTCAGCCACCTTCACACCTTCCGCTGCCTGGCCTACATCTGCATCCCAGCCAGCCAGCAGGACAAACTCGGTCCTCATGCAAAGGGGGAACCTACCGCCCACCGGAGCATGGCACGGCCACCCACCGTGTCCATGTAGAGGGCATGGTGACTGTGAGCAGCGATGTCACCTTCGATGATGACCGNCGCAGCCTGGTTCACAACGGGCGGGCACCCGCTTTGGCACTAGCCCCGCCTGCCCCTGCGGCAGTGACCCCATCGGCGGCTCTACACCACCCGCCATGCTGCCGACCCCAGCGGCTGCCCCACCCCTGGCGACCCCAACACCACCCCTTCCACCCCAACACCTGCAGTCAACGGCAGTCCCTGCACACGCCGCTGGCCCCGGTCAGTGACGGCCCGCCCCCCTGACAGCAGCAGCAGCGGCAGCGGTGGAGAGTCGGGAAGTTGCAACAACTAGCAATGTGTGGGCAATTTGCACTGTACGACCAATGCAAGAAAACAAACCGTTCCAATCATTGGAAAAGGCACACAGCCCACATGCTTGCTAATGCCTGCCGATAAAAACTTTCGCCTAAAACGTTCCAAGAACAAGGGGCAGGAGAGGGGGGAAAGTCCGGGGAAGTGGGGCGGCAGCCCCACGACCCCGCACATCCCCCCCAAGACCACCTGGCCACCGACATGCAATCATGATAGGAATGAGCGGGAGCCAAGGGAAACATTTAAAAGCATCATTCAATTTTATCAATTTGGCTGGGCTAAGAACGAGTTAAGAACGTTCTTAACCCCCCTCCGCGTTTGTAGGGCACTGTAGCAGCTGGTACACAGTACAGCTCTACAAATACGCGCGTAGCTCAATTACCAGCGTCTCGAGAGGCCTTTTCAGCGGCCAGCTGATACATTTGGTATCGAGACCTAATGAAATCTTATACTCTGAAGTCGTCGGTTCAACCCCCACTAATCACGCTTGAGTGGAAAGTCGGGTTTGGCGGCTTAGTGAGCGATTATCGCTAAATAAAAAATCTGTAGCTGAACCGACTGGTCTGTCTCTGTTCCTGAAAAACCTGACGGCTAGGCACATGAAGGGAACCATGACGTGACGTGGGCTTGAACACCCTACTGCCCGAGGGTAGGCGAAGGTTGGCACAGGCTGGTGGTATACGAGGCTCTAAGGTTCTACAGCCGCCGTACTACAGCCGCCGCCGTACTTTAAGGTATTGTTGTATGATGTGCGAAACAGGGGGGTATGTCTTTGCCCGTGGCAGCTACCCTGTGAAACCCTGCCTTCCCCGGTATTTCGGGGCACCCTCATCCAGTCACCAGTGCTTAGTATAATTTTGAAGCTCTTGATAAATGATAACTTCATATTTGTTTGGAGGACTTGGTATTCAGTACTTAGCGCTTCATGTGCAGCTAGCTGATACAGATCAGCGCTTATCTGTAACATGGTGCTAAGTGATCTACTAAGCGGCCTCTTAAGCGTATTACCAGGTAGCTATGAAGGACATATGAAGTGGGTAGCACTAAGATGATATCAAGGTATTAAAGTGGTGGCGTTCCACGAGTGATATATGTCCATATACTTACATGGGAATGGCTTATTCATGAATAAGCCGTAAGGGTATGATGCATACCTTACATGCATACCGTGCGCCTCAAGCAGGCCAGGACTGGTAATGGTAGCATTTATACAACAATGGATTAGGCACTACTGGTAACGCGCGACCATTTCCCCCGGGAGATCCTGGGATCGAGATCTGTCAGGGACGAAAATTCTTCCAATGATAGAAGGTACTGCGACCCTAGTTGATGGACGGTGTAGAACGGGGTAAAGTTAACCTGCAAGCCGGCCAGGAATGGAGTTGGGCCGCTGTCGACCTGGCAGATTCCGTTGGATACTGGTGGTGGGTGCGGAACCTGAGCGATCCACTGAGAAGTTGGAGTACCAAGTATTTTGAAGTAAACAGATACACAGTACACATGTAAGAAGTACCCCTACGAACACGGAGGCGGTTTAAGAACGTTCTTAAGTTGTTCTTAGCTCAGCCAAATTGATAAAATTGGATAACTATTAGAATGTTCTTTGACCGTTCTAAGAACGTTCTTAAGAACGGCTGAGACTGACTTAAGAACGTTCTTAACGAACGCACGTTCTAACGGCTTTGCCAATTTTTGGGCAGGGCCCCAGCGTGAAGCGCCCAGGGGACCCCCGCCCTGTAGGATTGCTCATGTCCGTGTGACCATGTGTGTGTGTCTGTGTATCTGTGTGTGTGTGTGTGTGCTTTTCTGTGTGTGTGTCTGTGTGTCTCGGACCAAACGTAATATCTCGCCCGGCTGAAACGCATTACTGGTAATATATTGCATTCTCTATTGCAAGGTATCTCGCCTGTATACTCATACGACTTTTCTTGGCTATGTAGCCAAGAAAAGTCGTATGAGTACAAACAACTTTGGCTGCCTCCATTGACCGAGGTCAAAGTCACATCAACGCCTCTTGGGCTAAATTAAATCTCAAAAGGTACCGTGTATCTCATACCGTGAATTCTGAGATGACAGCGTATGATAACTCGAACACCCAGCTTGTGTTACCGTTTGCCCGCATGGGCATTCCTATTTGCTACCAGCAGGCCGACAAAATTGCTTTCATTTCTCTATGAAGTACTCGTTTGTACAATTACTTTGGCCAATGCTCGGGGCTCAGTGTGTCGGCTTCCTGCCTCCCGTGCTCTGACAAGCATAGCTCCCACAGCATCCGCGCTGCTGCAACAAGCACAGCTCCCGCCACGTTGACACTACCCATCAATTGTCACACGTGGCGCCCTAGCTACCGGCCTGTACGGATGCAGGGGGCCCCGCCCTTTTTCCCGCTTCGAGGAAGCCGACACCCGACTTGTTGGCTGGAGGAATGAGCTTGTTCGGTCGGAACATTATTTATTCCTAATTTCCAGTACCACGGACAATTTTTTATTGCGAATTCAGAATTTATTCCGCAAAGAAAAAATCGCTGGTGGTCATGTGGCCATGTGGCCATGTGGATGTATGGCTGTGTGGCTATGTGGCCATGTGGCCATGTGGCCATGTGGCCATGTGGCCATGTGGCCATGTGGCCATGTGGACGTGTGGCCATGTGGCCATGTGGATGTATGGCTGTGTGTCCATGTTGCCTTTTCAGCGGCCAGCTACTGCACTCTCATAATGATTAAGATGTCTCCCGGAAACGGTCCAGTGGCTCTCAGATCCTGCTTCGACCCTAAATTGCGACCAGAATGTCAACGTAAATTCGTCTTCCTTTTTGTCCATATGCATAGCTATCCTGCGTGCTATTCCCCGTAATGGGTTCAGCCGTGAAATGTTCCAGCAGCACGATGACACACTTGCTGATCTGGTTTTAGAGCCGCTCATGAGTGTGTGTTAGGAAAGAGCCCGGGTTCCCTAGCGCCGTGTTGATTGTTGCATTTCACCATCGTGCTGCATGTGTATTGACCACCATACCAACTCATCATAGGGTAGGGCGACCACCGGCATCCTAATGGACAGCGTTTGTTTGCAGCATCGGCCCCTGCCTGCCCACCTTCATACTAGGAACTATTAGTCCCTCAGGGACTACTAGTATGGAAGGCTTCCATACATGGTTAGGCACTACTGGTAGGGCACACACCATTTCCCCCGGGAGATCCCGTGATTGAGACCTGTCAGGGTCGAAAATCCTTCCGATGGTGGAAGGTAACATGCCCGTAGTCGGTGGACGGTGGATGGATAAAGTTGGCTTTCGAGCTGACCAGGGATGGAGTTGAGCCGCTGTCGATACGGCAGATTCCGTTGGATGCTGTAGTAGCTGGCAGCTGAAAAGGCCTCTTGAGATGCTGGTGGTTGCGCTACGCGCGTAGTTGTAGAGCCGTACTGTGTACCAGCTACTACAGATGCCGGTGGTGAGTGTGGAACCTGAGCGATTCACGGAGAAACTGACTAGGGTGACTAGATGAGGGTGCCTTGGTAGCGGCCATGGATGAAGATATGCCCCTGCCCCACATATCATACTTGCATGCATTACTTAAACCCTGCACCCGTGCACATCTACATTAATGTACGCAGGGCTGTTTCATTCATGGCGTAACAACATGGAGTACGAGGACTACTCAACTGCCATGGGCCATGGCAATGCCTGCCCCAGCGCTGCAGAGATATCTCGCATGGGCTGGGCCACCCCTGCGACCGCGGGCGACCAGCTTGACAAGGATGAGCTGTCTCCAGCAGGATCGCCCCGGACCTTTTACCTGCCAGCCACTTCCCTCACCGGCAACTACAGCTTCTTGCGTGTGCTGCCAAACTGGCTAAATGACACATACAACAGTCCAAACGGTAAAAACCTGTATATTGCCTTTCGCGTTGCAAAGAATGGTGACGAGGCTCTGGAAGCTGAGTTTGCATCCAAGATAAACGTGCATGAAGTCAACGCTACAATGGTAAGTCTAAGCATGGTTACTGCACTCTGGGAACCGATTCCCGGGATTCCCTTCATTTTGCGTTCGTTTCGTGCTCATTTCGGAATGGAGGGCTGAGGGGCCTTCAGAACATACCGAAGAAGTTCGGCTTAAATGCATTTCAACAATCTCTGGCATGGCGATATTATGGTCTAATATCGCCATGCCATTGTTTTAATTACTTATGACTGTATGCATTCTCCCAACGTGAATTTATATATAATTAATACAGCTGTATGCGTGTGTGTATGCATGTGTGTGTGTTTGTGTACAGCAACGTCTGTAGAACTTGTATCGTCTATAGATGATGTGTACCAGCTACTATAGGCCGGCCTGTACATTCTCATTCCTCCAGCCAAAAACGTCCATTGCTGCCAGATTGCTCGGTAGTGTGCAGAACTTAGTATTTGCAATCATAGATTAGATATGAGGGGCCATGGACGGCCATGTATATAAGAAGGTCATGCCCGTGAGTCAACACTGCATAGCAGCATTTATGACCGGTCCTCACATAGCCAAATACGCACAAGGAAATGACTCAAAACGTCGAACAGGCACCAAAACAGCAAGATAAGCCTGGAATTTTTCCTGATAAGGGTGTTCAGGATGGCAGTGCTGTTGTCGGTAACACATCGGCAACGGTGTTGCTGCCAGCGGTGACCGATGACATGGGTGCCATTACCCCTGCCCTCCATGGCGGGTGTGATCAGCATAAGCCCAAGCTATCGCCCAATCAGCTCGACAGCAAGAACAGTGCATGCGGTGAGGCCAGCAATCCATTCCATGCGCCACCCGAGTGCTCACCGTGCCACGCGGGCTCAGATGCAGCACGTCTGCAAGACTCCCACCAAGACCAGACAGCGCAAGTCACCTAGACAGCCAAAGCGAACCCAAAGGGAAGGCTCAGAAACCCGCGACCATGGGTGACTTTGCCAATAAGCTTCTCAATTGACGAAAGCCCCCAGGCCTTCACTAGAAGGCCCACCAGGAAAAATTGACAGGAACTTGCAGGTTGTAACTAGATGAGGCCTGAGCCATGGATGCAATACATATCAATGCTTGGACCATATTGTTTGTACGCAGGACAATGGCTACCCAAAAGATATGTACAAGTTCACGGACCGCAAAATTCAGTTCATTGGAGCGACAGAGTCCATGTCCCAGATGGTATTAGATGCTTATAAGTTGATTGTATACGGTGGAGCCACTATTAATACGGACACCATGAGGGTGCATCTCTGCCGCTATGTGACCTCACCGGTGGAGTGTCCCGCCCTCAGAATGCTGGAAGACATCGGCGTGAAAATAAGCCCACCATTCATCACACCGCCACCAAGCCAACGTCCCCTGAGCCCGTCACCACCAAGCCCACTGCCGCCAAGCCCAATACCCACGAGCCCACCGCCGCCACCAAGCCCACCGCCGCCACCAAGCTTTCGACCCCCCCGTTCATCGCCACCAAGCCCACGACCCCCCCGTCCACAGCCTGGTGAGCTTACTAGCACCCCCAACCATGTAACACACACACATACATACATACACGTACATACATACATACATACATCCAGGCAGGCGGCTGGCAGAGGTTAAGGCCTGACTTCTGCTCCCAGTCGACCCAGTCGACCCGGGTTCAAATCCGCCTGCCGGCTCCTCGGGTGTTTGAGGAGTGATGAAATGGGAGGTGGCCCCCCATCTTATGGACGGTGTAGGACGTGATAATATCAACTTGCGAGCTGACCAGGAACTAAGTTGATGCGCCGTTGATCCGCTAGATTTGGTTGGATGCTGGTGGTGAGTTGCCGAACCCAACGAATACATTCTGAAGTCGGATGGGGTGACGGATTAGGGTGCCCCTCTAGCAGGGGAGAGCAGGGACTGCCCCGGGAAAGGGGGCCGCTGGCGAAGTTGACCACCCTGTAACAACATACATACATCCACGTACACGTACACACATGTGCATGGCTGGATGTGATTGCCCCTTTACTTAGTCTCCTCCCTTTGCATTTGCTTGTTCCCCCAATTCAATTAAGCAGCACCAAGCAGCGGCAGCGGCTGCACGTACACCATCAAGTCTGGTGACACCTTTTGGGCCGTTGCTTTACGGCGCGGCACCACCCTGGACGCCATTCAGTCCTTGAACCCGGGAGTTGACCCCTACATGTTGCAAATCGGCCAGGTCATCAATGTGCCGTGCTCAGGGTACGTACACACATCGATGTATGTATGTCTGAAATTACTGCGTGGGAAAACACGAATTAGGAGCTCATAGGCTACATGTGCATGTACCGTAATACACAAGCACCGCTGACCACATATTGTTCCAGCATTGATATCTACCGAGTGCAGGTAATACATTTTGTCTGTAGCTCTAGACCCCTCTTTCGTTTTCGCCTAAATATTCAACCTTGCATACCTTTAATTAGTAATCGTTGCACAAGGCAGGCAGGTACTGTGTGTAATGCTTTCCTGTAGCAATGTAACCAAACTCTATCAGGCTTATCTAGCATATCATACCTGTCTAATCATATCTATCTAGCTACCTAAATTTATCTATCATATGTACCTATCTAATCTGATCTATCCATCTATCCATCTAACGAAGGAGGTGATCCATTATTGCTGGCTGCAGCTGTCAGCGAGCGCAAGTGCCTGGAACATTTAGGACACGTGCGTGCATCAGCAGTAGATGGATGGCTGTGTTATATCACGACATCAGAAAAGTAGCGATCCGCGGATGCGGATTCCGTGGTATGCCCAGAATACAGCAGGCTGCATGTGCTGGTGGCGTCATGTCCGACAGAGGGCAGGCCATTGGCTGAATTTATGTCACGGTTCTTGTCCTCTGTACGACCTTTACACTTAAGGAAGATGTGCCATACTAAGCGAACTACGCCGCCTATCCCCATGCATTTTCCAGATACCTGCAGCAGATGGCATCGATCCAACCTGACCTGCTGCTGTAATGGCAGACCGGCAATTCGTAAACCAGCGCTTCCAAGTTGACCTAGTGGCGGATAGATGCTCGACTAACATCCCGCCGGATCAAGTGTCCAATTGCAGTTGATTCCAAGCCATTACCTGCGTGGGTGGGCGGGCATTTACTGCCGGCGCCTCTCATTGCAAAGATGTTATCGATTAATGGCGCTCTACTGAACAGTTGAAGAGCTGTACAGAGCTCTGGCAGAGCCTAGCATCTCTATCTCCCAACCTATCTCTTATGCAACCTGTACGATGTTACCATACTTTGACTTAACCTAGATCATGTTTCTTCCAAGATCTAGCCTTCTCTCTGAAAGAGAAGTCTGTGCATTACTAATCATCCGTTTCATTATATATCACAGTACGACCTATATTGAACGTGGTTTAAAGCAATTTCCATCCTACCTCTTTTAATATTCCTGCTGCCCATATATAGCCCGACAACTTAAATATTCCCCCACCTACCGCAACCCTCTTTTCTTCCCCTCCAATCCCGTACATAAACCATATCGTGCCTCCATGGGCACATGAAGCAGATCCGGTAAGCACATGCTGTTCATCAATCACGGCGTATGGATGCGTGCTGGTTGCCTGTTTAGGAAGTGAAACATGTTATTGTGTAGTATCCTGGGTATCACGGAATCTAGTATCCCCCGATCGGTTCTTTTCCTGCGATAAGACGTGATACAACAAATTGCTACTCCAACCAACGACCTGGGTGGGCAGCTCACTGCTGTGGGCTGCCAACACATGTGTGCTGTTCGTGAGCCGGCTGTTGCTATCTGCGCGGTATTATGTAACACCCTACATGCTGGAAGCAAAGTCAGTATGTCTGTGCCTGCACATCTTTATACAATTACAGGGATCGACTATACATCCATGTACATGCACACGTGTGTGCATGGCCGGATGTGATTGCCCCTTTACTTAGTCTCCTCCCTTTGCATTGGCTTATTCCCCCAATTCAATTAAGCAGCACCAAGCAGCGGCAGCGGCTGCACGTACACCATCAAGTCTGGTGACACCTTGGGGGCCGTTGCTTTACGGTGCGGCACCACCGTGGACGCCATTCAGTCCTTGAACCCGGGAGTTGACCCCAACAGTCTGCAAATCGGCCAGGTCATCAATGTGCCGTGCTCAGGAGGAGGAGGGTACGTACACACATCGATGTATGTATGTCTGAAATTACTGCGTGGGAAAACACGAATTAGGAGCTCATAGGCTACATGTGCATGTACCGTAATACACAAGCGTCGCTGACCACATATTATTCCAGCATCGATATCTACCGAGGGCAGGTAATACATTTTGTTTGTACCTCTAGAGCCCTCTTTCGTTTTTGGGCGAGGCCCCGGGTGCAAAGCGCCATTCGGGGGCCCGAGCCCCCCGGGTTCACTGCTGTCCGTCCGTCCGTCCGTCCGTCCGTCCGTCCGTCCATCCGTCCGTCCGTCCGTCCGTCGGTCCGTCCGTCCGTCCGTCGGTCCGTCCGTCCGTCCGTCCGTCCGTCCGTCCGTCCGTCGGTCCGTCCGTCCGTCCGTCGGTCCGTCCGTCGGTCCGTCCGTCCGTCCGTCCGTCCGTCCGTCCGTCCGTCCGTCCGTCCGTCCGTCCGTCCGTCCGTCCGTCCGTCCGTCCGTCCGTCCGTCCGTCGGTCGGTCGGTCGGCAGTGATTTTTTTTTCATTTAGGGGGGGTCTCAATTTATTCCGACCTAAGTAACAAAGTTGCTAGCGTCACCGTAATGTATTCCTTAAGAGTGGGGCGCTGGGGGGGGCTACACCCCCCCAAGACCCCCCCATAAGTTACAACTCCCCTCATAGACCAAGAGGCACGCACTGCGTTGGCGCGTTTTGTCTGCCATGTGTGGGGATTTTCTTTCTGCTTGTCCCGCCATGCACCGTCGCTCATGCCCTTGCGGATGCGCTGTGTCTGAGCCCGCTTGGCACTGCGAGCGCTCGGGTTGGGCGCCTCGCCGCATTCGTTGTTGTCGACCTGATTGGGTGACAGCTTGCGCTTATGCTGATCATAACCGCCATGGAAGGCAGGGGTAATGGCGCCCGTGTCATCGGTCGCCGCTGGCAGCAACACCATTGCCGATGCATTACCGACAACAGCACCGCCGTCCCAAACGCCTTTATCAGGAAAAATTTCAGGCTTATATTGCTGTTTTGGTGTTTGTTCGGCGTTCAAGTCGTTGCCTTTTGCGTGTTTGGCTATGTAAGGACCGGTCATACATTCTGCCATGCCGTGTTGACTCACGGGCTTGACCTTCTTACGGCCCCTCATATCTATTCTATGATCGATAATACTAAGTTCTGCACACTACGGAGCAATCTGGCAGCAATGGACGTTTTTGGCTGGAGGAATGAAAATGTACGGATCGGCCTCAATTTGTTCCTTATTTCCAAAGGCCAAAATGGCCTCTTTACTCCTTAAAAGGAATATATTACTTAAAAAAAAAACACTGTCGGTCGGTCGGTCGGTCGGTCGGTCGGTCGGTCAGTGGCTTACATATCTCGCCCCGCAGAAAATAGCGTTTGATTGCTATATCTATTCTATATCGAAATGCCAAAGGAGACATTCCGGATAAATCGGAGCGCGAAGATAGCCCTAAGGCACTGATTGGGTCAGTAACCCATGGGTTACCCATCTTCAACCCCCGGTAGCCCTTTGGTAACCCCCTTGTAAGTTCCTACCCAGCAGGAGGGTAAACACGGCCCCAGGGTTAAACCCCTCCGTTGCCCTGGACTATGAACATATGTATGGGCCTATTGGCTACTCCTCTTATATGCTTCCCACATCGTAAATTCCGCTTAAGGATACTTTTAAACATGTAAACGTTAGCAACCTACAGTATCGTGGTATCTCGGGAAGCATCGTTTGCCATTTCAACCTTAAGGTCTCTAATGATGGCATCACACACGCAAGGAATAAGCAATAAGTCACTATGTCTTGGGCTGTTTGGCTTGTAGATGAGTACAGGAGAAGGGGCGAATGCTGGCAGCACACACGCAAGTTGACGACAGGTCTTCACAAAATGGATGCCTTTGGTTCTCATCCAATGTTATATCTCATTGTGAAACATCAGGCAGTCAGTCCTGAGGTCGGCCGACATATTACCGGCTGGGGATGGTCGTACGCATATGTGCATGCTGCTTTACGTCCATTGTTACTCCTGACAAGCACATTCAAGCTGAATCACAGCTAATTAGCTTGTAAGCTCATATAGTGCACACTTTTGGCTGGTCTTTTAATTAGACGGACATGCTAAAATGAGCGATGACCACTATCACGAATTCAGTCAATCATATTCACTGCTGGCATTGTTCCTATTGACCATAGATACAATGCACACATATAATCCACGTTGCAATACTGGTGCGTATGGCGGCAAAGATGGTGGCATTCTAGCGTTCGCGCGCGCGGACCACCACAACAAGACCGTTGAATGTCTTTCTGCAGCACAGGCCCACACTTATGGTGCACCTCATTTAGCAAGACATCCAGTGACAATTTTACCTGAGGGTGCCTTACACTTCGCCGGGTGTGACCGTGTTCGGAGTCAAACATCCGGATCTCCCGCCCAAGACCTTCGACGCTCTTCTGAGAGCCTGCTCTGAAAACGAGCATACTCTGGATAGTGTTGCATAGGTCGTGCGTAGAGCTAGAAGTAGCAGGTCGGGACAGGGCACTTAAGCTACTGGCCGACCTTAAGGTAATGTAAGCTTACATTGCCGCCCGTTGGCTGGTCCGCGAGATTTAGGTATTGGGTCCGGAGCGGCGGTAAGTGCCTGGACCTTTTGATAGGAATATGTATTGTCTTCACTGGCGGCTTCTCGCTGGCGGTGGTCCCCAATTTGCTCTGCCTATGTACGCCTAGGCGGACGAAGAGGCCTCTTCGTCCGCCTCCTTGCATCTAGGCTGCAGCTGTGTGCCTTATCCTTAGGTCTAGGTTTCTACACAAGGCATGTTTTGGTGCGTCAATGTTGATAATTGGGCATTCACAAGTGATTGGTGAAGACATGTATGTTTGCGTGTGTAGACAGGCCTGTCTACACGCGCAAACGTACATGTCTTCACCAATCAGCCTAGGCGAGACAGGTGCAGGTGAATGTAAACATGGGTTACCCTGCCTGTTACCCATCAGTAGTGTATTACCCCGACCCCTTTGTTACCCCTCGGTAAGGGGTTACCCCTACCCCGGGGTTAGGTTACCCACCTCCCTTCGTACATAGCCACATGGGTAACCCCTAACCCTACACCCTGGGTTACACTTAAGGGGGGGTTACCCCCCCTTTTATGCCATAGGGTAGCTTTCCATGGCTCCGAGTTTGACATAAAGTTACATATCTCACTCCGCAAAAGATTGAATGTAGAAGCTATATCTATTCTACATCCACCTGCCAAAGGATAAATTCCAGATAAATTGGATCGTGATAAAGATAGCTTTCCATGGCTCCGAGAGTTTGGCGGAGGAGGGCGGGGCCGCCCAGGTCGGGCAGTTGCGCAGGCGGAGGTGCCAGCCCCCACAGCGGGCCATGTCGGCAGCCCCCATCTGCCGGCCGCCTTGCCGCCCGCGTCGCCGCCGGCGGCGGCGGCCCCTGGCCAGCCGATCCGCCGCGGCCGCGGCCGGGCCCCCAGCAGAGGACACGGAGGAGGGCGAGGCTGTTGTTGACCCATGGCAACGCTCTAAGCACCTCCCTCCTAGCATGTCGTGCCTGTTTGATTGTTGTCCTTCTATTCTCTTCTTCATTCATTCAATCCAAGTTCAAACGAAGTGTGCCTTTGCGACACACCATCAGCTTTGCCGCTGCATTCTGACTTCAAAATGTGCAATTGGAACGATCCCTGAATGCGTTCTGGCTGGGAGCGGACAACAATTGGTCCATGAAGCACGGGCACTTTTGCGCGCCTTGAACTGCCAGCCAGACGGCCCTTCAGTCTGCTGGCTGACAGTTCAAGGCGCTTTGTGTTTATGTCATTCTACGGATTGCCGCATCACAAGAAGGCTAACTGTTCCGTCAATAATGATTATGCTATGGCGGCTGCTGTCTACGCCGCCAAAGCAAGTCTGCCAACCTTTATTGCTTGAGAATTACAATAACAAGTGTGTACTCCAAACATGGCGGCGACTTGTGCTTGCACTCCTATGCCGTACGGACTGCCCTGCGAATTAAACTGGGTCAAGTGGCTGCACCGGGGCCAAGCCCCTTTTCGGCTTTGAAAAGCCGCCCCCCTAGTCTCCTAAATATTCAACCTAGCATACCTTTAATTAGTAATCGTTGCACAAGGCAGGCAGGTACTGTGTGTAATGCTTTCCTGTAGCAATGTAACCAAACTCTATCAGGCTTATCTAGCATATCATACCTGTCTAATCATATCTATCTAGCTACCTAAATTTATCTATCATATGTACCTATCTAATCTGATCTATCCATCTATCCATCTAACGAAGGAGGTGATCCATTATTGCTGGCTGCAGCTGTCAGCGAGCGCAAGTGCCTGGAACATTTAGGACACGTGCGTGCATCAGCAGTAGATGGATGGCTGTGTTATATCACGACATCAGAAAAGTAGCGATCCGCGGATGCGGATTCCGTGGTATGCCCAGAATACAGCAGGCTGCATGTGCTGGTGGCGTCATGTCCGACAGAGGGCAGGCCATTGGCTGAATTTATGTCACGGTTCTTGTCCTCTGTACGACCTTTACACTTAAGGAAGATGTGCCATACTAAGCGAACTACGCCGCCTATCCCCATGCATTTTCCAGATACCTGCAGCAGATGGCATCGATCCAACCTGACCTGCTGCTGTAATGGCAGACCGGCAATTCGTAAACCAGCGCTTCCAAGTTGACCTAGTGGCGGATAGATGCTCGACTAACATCCCGCCGGATCAAGTGTCCAATTGCAGTTGATTCCAAGCCATTACCTGCGTGGGTGGGCGGGCATTTACTGCCGGCGCCTCTCATTGCAAAGATGTTATCGATTAATGGCGCTCTACTGAACAGTTGAAGAGCTGTACAGAGCTCTGGCAGAGCCTAGCATCTCTATCTCCCAACCTATCTCTTATGCAACCTGTACGATGTTACCATACTTTGACTTAACCTAGATCATGTTTCGTCCAAGATCTAGCCTTCTCTCTGAAAGAGAAGTCTGTGCATTACTAATCATCCGTTTCATTATATATCACAGTACGACCTATATTGAACGTGGTTTAAAGCAATTTCCATCCTACCTCTTTTAATATTCCTGCTGCCCATATATAGCCCGACAACTTAAATATTCCCCCACCTACCGCAACCCTCTTTTCTTCCCCTCCAATCCCGTACATAAACCATATCGTGCCTCCATGGGCACATGAAGCAGATCCGGTAAGCACATGCTGTTCATCAATCACGGTGTATGGATGCGTGCTGGTTGCCTGTTTAGGAAGTGAAACATGTTATTGTGTAGTATCCTGGGTATCACGGAATCTAGTATCCCCCGATCGGTTCTTTTCCTGCGATAAGACGTGATACAACAAATTGCTACTCCAACCAACGACCTGGGTGGGCAGCTCGCTGCTGTGGGCTGCCAACACATGTGTGCTGTTCGTGAGCCGGCTGTTGCTATCTGCGCGGTATTATGTAACACCCTACATGCTGGAAGCAAAGTCAGTATGTCTGTGCCTGCACATCTTTATACAATTACAGGGATCGACTATACATCCATGTACATACACACGCGTGTGCATGGCCGGATGTGATTGCCCCTTTACTTAGTCTCCTCCCTTTGCATTGGCTTATTCCCCCAATTCAATTAAGCAGCACCAAGCAGCGGCGGCGGCTGCACGTACACCATCAAGTCTGGTGACAGCTTTTGGGGCCTCGCTTTGCAGCGCGGCACCACCGTGGACGCCATTCAGTCCTTGAACCCGGGAGTTGACCCAACCATGTTGCAAATCGGCCAGGTCATCAATGTGCCGTGCAGCCCTTGAGGTCCTGAAAGCCGGACGAGGGAACGTACCAACATGTCTACTCCAAGAATAACATATGATGGCAGAGAGTTATTTATTGTCCTACAGCCGCTTTTCCCTTTGCTGTGCATCCCTGGGTGTGTTGGAGGGATTCATGGGGCCTTGCTCGTTCTTCCCCGCCCGGATGGTTCACAATATGGCGATAATGCATACGATAGGAACATCAATTACCTTGCAGTAGGTCGGGGTCGGGGTCGTGATAGGGTCAGCACTGCCCGCCCGGCGTTGTGGGTTCCTTGATCCCCGGGCCCGTTTCTGTGAAGGAGACATTTGTATGGAGCCGCCAGGCCGCGTGGCTAGACAGGGTTTGGTGAATGTATGTTTTTATGTGCTGCATGTGTGCGTACATGCAACCTCGCTCCGTCGATCTGATGTCACGCCAAAACATCTGGAGTGCACAAATTACGTGCCACGGTCGAGTTAGTCGCTATCTGCAGGTGGTTAAGCCAACCGAAGGTAGTTGGACGAACCGCGTATTGATTTAGTTGAGACTTTGGGTGTTGCCTGACTAGCGTATAAGGTGCTTTTCGTTGTGGTTTGAGGATGTTGTTGTCGTTCATCTGTCGTTAGTCGGATGAGTGTTACGTATCCAGGATAGGGCCTCGTGTGATAAGGCCTGGCGTGGATCAGTCGATACTTCGCCATAAATGCGAGTGTGAAGAGGCCAAACATTTGTCGTTTGGCTCTTGAAGCAACTCTTCGTGAGCGTACAGACCAATAAACATTAAGTTTTCATGAGGAATTATCGTTCGTTACACACTAAGGGTACCTGCAAGCAGTAAACAGCCGTCTTCAATCGGTAGGTAGGCCGGGTGAGGGCCGGCTACTGTGAAACTTTAATAATCGAGGGAGGCGGGCAAACCCAACCAACCCCGCGACGCAGTCTGGCCAACGTTCGTGCCCCACCGCCCTTAAGAGGGCCACGGCCGCAAGCTAGGGCTTGTGCCGACCACGCACATTTGAGGCTCGTGCCGCCCCCCCCTTAAGAGGGCCTCGGCCGCAAGCTAGGGCCTGCACCGACCGCCCCCCCCCACACACACATCGAGGCTTATGCCTTTTGTCTGCCATTGATAAGGCCCAAACCAAAAACCCAGCTAAACAGCGCCGGGGGAAACACAACCCCGACCTCGACCCGAGCCCCACTACTCCACTACTTCGGCGGGTTCGGGCACTCCTTGGCCCAGTGGCCCATGACGTTGCACTTGAAGCACGGCCCCTTGGGAGCCTTCGGCGCCGATGGCCCAGCCGCGGCCGCCACCTGTGCCGGTTGCACCTTCACGGGGGGCTTAGCAACCTTCCGGCTCTCAGCTGCGGCCTTAATGGCCTTCTTCAACGCCTTCTGCTCTTCCTCCGTGGCCGTGTAGGGTGTTCCCCGCAACTGGCCCACGACGTCCCACCCGTGGTGGTGCACGATGACGAGCTCTTTTGCCTGCTGCTCGAAGACTTCTTGCGCCTTGCGAACCGCCTCCTCCATCGTCACCGCGCGCTCTGCCCGGTTAGCCGCAGGAGCATCAGCGACCGCGCGCCACTTGAGCTGCACGTCTGCGAACGCGTCGTGTAAGAAAGCCAACCGCTGCCGCTGTCCAATCAGCGACTTGTTTCCTTTGCCCTCGGAGGCGCCGAAGTCGCACTTGTAGTGCGGGAGGACCATGTGCTGCTTCTTTGGAGCCGGCTCCGCTGTCTCCCGCTGCTCAAGCAGCATCCGCTGTGTCCATAAATGGACGAGCTGCTGGTGCTCCTGTATCGCATCCATGTACTGCGCGTGCGCCTCGTGTAGCTACCCGGTCAAAATTTTTCCCGGATCCGTTCAAAGTTGCTCCTTTGCAGCTTTCACGTTTTTATGTTCCATAATTGCGTTAAGACGCTTTGATGCTTCGTCTACCAGCAAGCCGAGCTGGTCGGACGCAAGGTCACTGTCCATTGTGAAATTTCTAGTGAGGGCCGGCTACCGTGAAGGCTATCGCTACGGCCTTGACGCCTACAGCCTCACGGCAACCACCCTATGTAGCTACAAAACCCGACAATCAGTCCTCCAAGCACTCGCGAACTCCTTAACTGGCACCAAGTGCCGTACCAACGCCCTTACGAGGGCACAACTCCTCTGAGTTCACAGAAAACCTTGGTTTTCTAGCGTTGCACTCTGAAAACCTTCAGGATAATATAATCATAGGAGGGTTGATAGGCCTGTTTTGTGTAACAAGACTGTGATCCTACCCTACCTCGAGACGCGCATCAGAGCAGGATAGACAGAGAGTGTATACACAGCATTCCATAAGGTCCACCCTTAGTGCTTATACCTCTAGGCTCGACAGGGATCCGTTCCCAGCCCGTCCTCGTCTACCATGAGCACGCTCATCAAGTTAACGAAGCTGGAGTGAGCCAGCCGAATCAAGCCGGAGCTTTGAGGAAAGCTCCTATTGTATAATCATTACCCATAATTAATGAGTACATCGTCAATGAATGCTACGCTGACATCGGCCAGGCCTGCCTTGCCCAGCTCATAATCCATGACGCGCTGAAAGTAGGCGCTGGCATTTTTGAGTCCATACGGCATTCATGTGTAGGCCATGAGCTTGCTGGAGACCCAGTACGAGGTATGAGCCTGATGCTCAGGCGCTATGGGGATCTGCAAAAATCCCTGCCGCAGGTCCAACTTGGAGAAAATAGTAGCTTTGCCTACGCGCTGGAAAATCTCCTCGGGACGATGCAGCCCCAAGGAGCGCGAGGTCATCACCGAAAAGACAGCCGAGCTTGTTAAAGCGGGCATTGTCAAGGAATACCAGGGACCGACAGCCTGCGCCGTCAACCCAGTCGTCGCCGCCAAGAAGGATCCCGACATTGGCTTGTGGACCGACTACCGCATGGCACAAGACTATCGCCCTGTCAAAACGCATACTCTACAGGACAAGTATGGGCTGCATCGTCCCGAGGAGGTTTCCCAGCGCGTAGGCAAAGCTACTATTTTCTCCAAGTTGGACCTGCGGCAGGGATTTTTGCAGATCCCCATAGCGCCTGAGCATCAGGCTCATACCTCGTACTGGGTCTCCAACAAGCTCATGGCCTACACATGAATGCCGTATGGACTCAAAAATGCCAGCGCCTACTTTCAGCGCGTCATGGATTATGAGCTGGGCAAGGCAGGCCTGGCCGATGTCAGCGTAGCATTCATTGACGATGTACTCATTTGGTCACAGACACCTGAGGAGCACGTCAAACATGTGGCCTCCGTACTCGACGTGTTGGCAGCCTGTGGGCTTCGTGCCCATCCTGACAAGTCAATTTTCGGTGCAGACGTCATTGAGTACCTGGGTCACAACCTAAGTGCCTTTGGGATCAGTCCGCACCAGGCCAAGGTCGCCCCAATCATGGCCCTTCAGCCTCCCCGCAACATGTCTGAGCTCCGTACACAGCTGGGTTTCATCAACTCTACCGCTGCTACGTCCCGCAAATGAGCCAGCTCGCAGCGGATCTGAACAAGCTCCTCAAGAAAGGTGAACCGTGGGTCTGGGGTCCCAAGCAGCAAGAGGCGTTTGAAGCCATCAAGACTGCATTCACCAAAGAGTTGCTCTCCTGCATCGCATCGACTACTCCCGCCCGCTAATATTGCACACGGATTTCTCCAATAAGGGCATAGGAGCCGTCCTTGGGCAAGCCGATGACGACGGAAACGAATACATGTGTACTTGTATCAGCCGCTCACTTAACAAGCACGAGGCAAACTACAGCAGCTACAAGGGAGAGATGCTGGCCGCCGTGTGGGCTGTGAAGATGTTCCGGCACCACCGGCACCTGATCGGCGGCCCTCTGTTTAGGCTGATTACAGACCATCAACCACTGCTGTACCTGATGAGCTCGGAAGGGCTTACAGGACAATATGCACGCTTTGCACTAGCGTTGCAAGAATATAATTTTGTCATCGAACATCGGCCGGGAATTAAGCATCAGAACACGGACACCCTGTCCCGCAACCCCGCGCCAAGCAAGGCTGACAACACTGGCGCCCGGCTTGGTGAGGATGAGGAAGTCAGGGAGTCCGCACTTCTCACCCCGGCCTTCACTGCTGCATCCGTGCGGGCAGCGTGGGCTGACCATCAGCTGGCGTGCACCACTATCCATACAGCGGCATCTGTTGCCCCATTCAGTAACACCTTCTGCCCCAGCCCGGAGGAGAATCTCTGCGGATGGAACGGATGGTGTTTTGAGTCGCTTGAGCCGCCTCCCGAGGCCGAAGATGCTCAGCAAGCCGCAGCCCGGACCCAGCTGCAAAGCCTCGCAACTGAGTGGCTGTCCGCTGCAAAACATTCCGGTGGGCTCAGTCCCTCGGTGCCTTCAGACCGTGACACCCTGAAGGTTTCAGTGGGAGCCCAGTTCTTCCCACTGGCCACACAGAAAGGAGTCACACTTTATGAGCCGCTAGGCGGCATGTGCGCGGGCCTTGAGGCCTGTCTGCACAATGGAATTAGGGTCAACAAGTATCTGTACTCGGACATAGACCAGCATGCAAGGATGGTGGCCGCCGCGCGATTGCCAGCACTCAGCGCTGCCTATCCCCAGTTATTTCCGCTCTCAGCATGGCGCGATACATTTCTAGCACTGTCTCAGGACGTCCGGCAAGTCACAGGTCCGGAGCTTAGGCTGGCAGGAGCTCAGGAGGGTAGCCTGTGGTTGGTCATCACGTTCTGGAACGCTCAGTCAGCTGACGCAGTGCCAAAGGTTCTCAGTGTGATAAACGAGCTTCAGGCGCGTGTCCCTTCACCTCGACGGCCTGCACATCCCTACCGCTTTCAGACCAAACACCCGAGTCCGAAACTGCCGAGAAGGATGCTGACAAGATGTTTGGGAAAGCCACCCTTACCGATGCTGCACACTTTGGCTCGTATTCACACTGTCTTTACCAGTGTTGGAGTAACCTCACGTCGCCCAAGGAGTTCACCTGTGTCGTGCAATCTGCAATCCGGCCCGCCGGCAGTGTAGCAGCCGGTACAGAGTACGGCGCTATAAATACGCGCAGAGCGCGACCGCCAGCAACTCGAGAGACCTTTTCAGCGGTCAGCTGCTACAGGCAGACAACTCCAAGACGTGCTTAGCAGTGAGCATTCAGCACCCATCTCCGCGCGTCAGATGCACTATCTGTACTACCCCTGTGACCATGCTGGAAAGCCCGTCCACGCGCTTTATCCAGGCTCAGTGGGGCAGCGTGGCTCGGATGTTGTGGGGAGTATCACCACCCCGTTGTACAACAGTATTACCACTCAGTACGATTCCCTGTATCCCGGGGAGTGTGACCTCGTGTTAGGTTATGAGGCGGGGGTGTCAGCCGCTCCCGGCCTAACAGATCATGCTCGTCTCTCTGTGCTGGCCAATGCAACTGACCAGGCACTCATATCCAGTATTGTTGCAATCCTGCGCGCCCTGGCGCAAGATGCCAAGGCGCAAGCCTTCTCTGCAGCATTGTGCCGATCCGTCATGCATGAGCGTGCTTACATCTCACAAGGGCTTGCCATGAGCGTGGCCTCTCACCCTCTTAGTGACATGGGTGGGGCCTCTATGGCGCTGGCCGCGCATGCTCAAGATCAGACTCTCAGTCCTGATGCCCGGCGTCAGGATATTTGGGACGACGAAATCACGATATGTCTTCTTCCACCTGGCACCGACCTGGCGGAGCAAAAGCGTTGTGCTCAGCGTGCATGCAAGTACTGTTTCCAAGGAGAGACACTCTATCGCATCAAGAACGACGGCAAGCCACGCGTCGTTCCAAAACCTGGTGACCGCACTGACATAATCAAGCGCACCCACGAGCAGGCTGGGCACTTCAGGGTGCGGCGCACTACTGCGCTGCTTCTCACCAGCTACTGGTGGCAGGGCATGCACGATGATGTCGCTTCGGTGGTACGTCACTGCGCAGCCTGCGATCGTGTCAACACCAGCTTTTCAGCCAGGGCGCTGGAGCTCAACCCGCTGCCAATATCGGGTTTATTCTACCGCTGGGGTGCGGACCTGTGTGGTCCGTTCAAGAAGACCCCCAGGGGTTTTACCCAGTGTTTTTTTGGTAATATATTACTTTTTGGGGAATAAATGGGGGTCTGAGCCTGGAAGAAATGGAATAATTGGTCAGTTGACCGTACTGGTTCCAGAGGGTTGCAAAAACGGTCTAATCCCCCAATCCCGGGGGGTGGTAGTGGTCAGCCATCCCCCCATCCTGGCTGGGGTGACCGACTCCCATCTCCCATCTTAGGGGCCCGGTGCTAATCCCATCCCTTGAGACAGGTTTCCCATCCTGCCAGCCTGGGTCCCATCCCCAATCCTATGGCCAGGGTTTCCAATCCCATCCTGCAGCTGTGTTCCCCCAATCCTCATCCTGCCAGCCAGGGTCCCTTCCCAATCCCTTCGACCAGGGCCATCCCCATCCTGCAGCTGTGTTCAGATCCGAAAGCTGTCAGCCAGGGTCCCATCCCCATCCCTTGCCAGCTACAAACCTACTCCTTACGTTTACACAGGTGCTGTAATATCGGCTTTCTCTTTAGGCGTAAATCAGGGGAATGACCAGGGTTGTTTTCTATTTCCGCGAGATATTTTTCTCTTGCTCTATGGCTTATTTCCTCTAGCGTCAAATTCCGCCCGGCTGTGTTCGTTCCGAAGCAGACTGAAGCGACAAACGCTCGTTGAAGCGGATCTCGACTGAGGAAGAACTCGCATCACAGAGGTCTACGTATCTAATTGCACACTGGCTGCTATTGCAAATCGCGCGTCCTAAGGGGGGAAGGACTGTTATGTTCGAAGGACGGCCACATCAACAAATTATAATGCTGTGGTTAGAATGGCAGAACGTACAAGGGTGTTCTGTCAAAATGTCCATGGCTGGGAACGTGCACCATTGGTTCAGGTTCATAGCGCAGGAGTTCAGCTGCACATTCTGGCGCCAACACTCCACGTTGGGTGCGCCAAAGCGCTACGATAAACAACCTGATAACATTACATCAAGACAGACAGTCCAATTGGAATGCTTTT